GTTCTGTTTAGGAAGTCGTCGCGAGCAAGAATGTTGAGATGAAAGTCGATATGCGAGGAGAACAACTATAAAAATAAATGTGGATCGACCTGATATCACGATACACGATAAGAAGCGCGACGTGCAGTAATCCTGATTGAGGTTGGCATCACTGGTCAGGATAGTCGAGATCGAGAAGAAGAGAAAATATGACCTACTTGCTAATAAGCTCGGGTCAGAGATGAAATGCAGAATCAAAATAATTCTGTATGTGATGACTTGGGATGGGATTGTAACGAACTTCCACAAATGTTATGCGAAGAAGATTAGTACATCAGACCACGTCGAAGCATACATCCAATCGATAGTTCCCAAGAAGACGTTCGAAGCATCTCCTTCGACAGTCGATATGGATTCCACGAGGACAAAGCGAGAACGATGAGTACAACAAACTCTTGAGTGCACGACAAGTACTGCTCAAATGCCAGAATGCGATCCAGCGCCAGAAACAATAAAGGAAAAAAGAAGACTTACCACCACATTTTCTTTTTCATATATATATAATTTATTTATGCATAATCTATGCATCTACACCTTGCTTATATATTTATATATCTGAAAACTTTAATAAATGGAATTCAAATATTTTCATTAGCAGAAAATAAATAATGAATCATTTCTACACAGCATAAAACTATGCTCTATGCAGCCCGTAAAACTGACTTATCACTTAAGTCTTAATTCGATTTGGACTTTACTTTTTGTCTAGTGCCACTCATGCTATTTATTTAAATTACCAAAAAAGTTCCACTGATATGAATCACTTTCTTTGATTCATTCAATTTCCGTAATATTTTTAAATTTGTATTATATTCTGCCTGACATGACACCTATCCTTATTAATCGCAGATTAGAATGCAAGTTTGAATGCTCGCAGTCGGGTGACGACTATTTCAGTATATGCAGCCTGACATAATTTTTATGTTAAATTTTTTGTGCTTTAATTATATTTTATTTTGTGTATGGCAATATTAACAATTTTTTACAAGAATTATCTCAACTTAATTATTTTTTAATCATATTCGCATTGCATGAAAAGCATTTTTGAATTCATTATTGTACAATTGGCATTCATAACAACACAATAACTTTTTTTCACAACTAGTTTTCGCTAATTTTTTTCACAATTTTCTATTTTCTTTATTGCTTTCTGATGAACCTTGCGTTTTCTCTACTTGTACTGGTCCCAACTTAAAGTATTATTCTTATTATTGTTATTGCTATTATTACTGGTAGTTGCATTCTTGGTGCTGTTATTACTAGTACTTTAAATTTTTGAAATGGTTTTTTTTAATTTTTCCTCTAAAGTCTGTTTGAATAATTTCTTCCATGCAAAGCACCTCTAATTTTATTATTTTGACATTGTTTCTTGTAATACTCTTTTGTAATTATTGAAACACTAGTAGCAACACGCTACTAATGAGTAAATATCAGATAGAATAACTGTGTGTAATATTTGCGTATATTAGTGATCAGTTTTTAAAATTTTCAGCAGTTCCACTTTAATCTGCTAAAAAACCGAAGACATTACTGGGATAGTGAATACTGTGTAAACTAATTATGCCGAAAAATACAAATTTTTTAGCAGCTCAGAAAATTAGTTTGTATAATTTAGCAAAGTTACCATAATTTTGCTCGAAATTTGTTCAAGACTGCGATTAAATCGAATATCCTGCTCTTGTTCATATTGTGCTTGCGCTACGGCATCTTGAAGTGATACAAACATATAACTTTTTGGTACATGCTCGTAAAAATGAGAATTTTCAAACATTTGTCGTACAGCCACTGAATTATTGTACAGTATTTTTTACGAAAATTGATAATTATGATTTCTAATTTTTTATATTTTAAATACTAAAATAAACAGAGAGTTTAATCATTATTTAACTCATTTTATACGATTAAGAACAATTTTGGCTTTGCTTTCAGTATTCATTTTTTCAAAGCAAATATCAATGCCTTAAGACTTTTAAACTAATTTTGGTTTTCACCCAATTTCTTAATTCCTAGCAAATAAAAGAAATGTATTCTTATTTTAAAAACAAATTTGATATATTCTTTTCAGTCAGTAGTTTTTAAAGATTTGAATATCTATCAGAATGCAAAATGCATATTGATAGATATTCAAATCGATCTGAATGTACTCTTCACCTTTGCAACAAGCGAAAAACACAGTAATATTAATAGCTCGATATTCAGCATGAGCTCGAGCTAAAGCATCAAGACCCATTAAGTCAATATATGGAAATGATGAGCAGTCAATGATAATATGCGTTAATTGTACCAAGTCTTCATTTTCTTCTTTATTTTCCAAGTTTTGATGTGATGGATGGAAACAGTGCCGTCGTACTGTTAATTCTACAGAAAGCTGTCAGTCACGTTTACTGTCACAACAAAATTAAATGATATGAATCGTAAATAAGTGGTAAAAGAAAAAATCAAATGTATTTATTCATGCTAATGTTGACTTCTCTTAATAAAATGGAACAACGACTTACGATTATGAATGTAACTGAAAAGTAATATTATTCAGCAGAAACATACGAATTTCTTCATCGCTTTTTTCTTTATTTCCTTTCCTCATCTCAGTAATTGTCTTCTTCTTCTGATCAACCGTCTGCTTCAATTTTGCCACAATAAGTAACGGATTAAGACCTGTTGCGCTAGAAGTAAGCAAATATCTGAATGTTGTTCACGTTTATTCATTTACGCTCATATTAGGTTTTTTTTTAAATAACAAAATTGTTAACAGAAAAAAAAGTTAGCGTGATTAAAATTTTATGCTTAATTAGGAAATTTGCATACAATTGACTAAAATAAATCACAAAATCGGTTTTCAGTCGTACTATTTTTCATAAAATACAAAATGGAATTGATATAACTGCATTATTTTCATTCAGCATCATTATTCACATTTTTGTGCTTTTAAAAAATTATTCCAATTTCTGTATTGAAATCATAAGAAACCTGTGAATACTTGACAGAAATAATTCAGCATTTGCAAAATATAGCGGTGCATCGAATCTAAATACTTTTATGCCAGGAATTTCCATTGCTGTCCGATAGTGACCAATACCCTTAAAGTCTGCTGTTCCCGGAATACGCCCCATACACGTACTTTCTGCCCTTAAAACCATTAATTGTTCCTTCAATTATTAATTCATTTCACATTATATGTAATATATTTGAATTTTCAGTCGTGATTTTTAGTTTTCGAAAATTGCATTGACTAGCTTAAAAAAGTATGTACCAGGAAAATGTAATTTTACACAGATTATATTGTGCAGTGATTAAGTAAGTATAAACATATTACTTTAAACCGTAAAATTAATGTGTCAGAAGTGCAAATTAAACTGAATACTTCAAATTAATCCAAAGAGTTGTGCTTCAGTGAACTAAATTAATTGCAAATTTCATTTTATTTTAATAATGTTACGCTTAATTTCATTTTAATTAGATAATGACTTATCTCGTCGTTTTATTTAGTTCACTGAAACCCAACTCTTTGAATTCATTTGAAGTATTCAGTTTAATTTACATTTTTTATCAAATTAAAATTGAAATCGCTAGAAAATTCTATTTTAGAAAAAATTATCGTGGCGCATGACAAGATTTGAGTTTAGCACAAAAAATTATATGAATAATAAATTTGTTGGAATGTACCATTGGGATCGTAGTACAACAGTAAGGAGTGCGAAAACGACACCAATTGCAAGTCCAATATTGACATTAATTAAAACAACGGCTGAGAATGTAATCAGAAATATAAACTAAAATGCTTGATAGAGTTTAAAAAAATCATTTTATTACTGATTTTCAATCAAAAGTGATCATGAACATTTTTATAAACTTCTAGTAGCTTTTTTTTCAATCTTAATCTGTGCAAAATATATGCTAAATTAATCACAAAAGCTTTAAATTTGCTAATTAAAATGAAAGATTGACTAATCTAACTAGTAAAATAATTCATTTGATCAATATAGAACTAACGAAATCAATAATTGATTCTTGGAAAAGTATTCGAGACCAACAAATTTTCATGTACAGTTCTTTCATTGCAACTACTACAATGCATGATAGCACAGTCTAAAACTTGCCTAAATTATTATAGTTTCTTTCTGTTGTTTGTAGAAAATAGTAATTCCGAAGGTGACTGATTTTGTTGCTTTCACAAAGTATACTGCATAAAAGTGAAAAATTAATTGCTTCACACTATATCTTTTTGGCGGTTAAGCAAATGTAATCCTCACCTTAGGTAAGTATTTAAATAAAGGAGCAGCTCCAAATGCAACAATCAACAAAATTATTACTACTACGAGAGTTGTTAGCTGAAAAATCATGCTGACAAGTAACAATATCTAGTATTAGCTACTATTTATTTGAAAAAATTTTTTTCGTAAAAATAACTAGACTTAAGAATATTGACTTTTTTTTGCACAAATTTTGGAGTCAAAAGTAATACTATATATTGTGCAGAAAGTTTCTCAGAGTGCTAGCACATATGATACAGAAATGTATGAAAAAAACAGGAAAAAAGTAATTTCATGAAGTAAACATTATTCAGAAAATTTGTCTCAAGTTAGTTTTTTAGTTTTCAATGCAGAACTTCATGTTTTTATTGTGATATACCGCAGAATCGTTTTCAGCAGAGCTGTACGTGCTCACAAAAGATCATTGAAATATAAAACTGTTGAAATACTAATTTGTGATTTCAATTAAGATGAAATATGCTTTGTATTTCATTTAAAACTGATTATAGTAGATGAAGAGATTGCATAAGATCAAATTTATTTGGCAGCAGTATTTTCGCTCATTAAGTAAATGGCTTCCATTACTTGTATAATCATAGTTTGTTGCTATTTATGTAATCGTTTAAGAAAGCATTACATAAAATAATTATTACTGTGATGAGCAAGTAAACCATAACAAGTTGCAATGTAAAGTATAGATATAATAAATATTAGTAAATCAGTAGACAGTTGTTTCCATGATATAATTTAATAAATTGCTACCTGCGATTTAGTTCCCAACCTTGCGCTTGTTACCGTACGGCTTAAAGATGAACCACCAGCAAAACAACCAAAGAATGATGCAACAATATGCATTGCACCCAATGCCAGCCATTCCTTCATATCAAATAGAACAAATTAATAAAATTACTATAAAAAATTTAGATAAGCAATTGAAATCATCAAAGGATTTTTCTGCTGCTAAATATGATTCATTTTATTGAATACTCTAGTGAATGATTAAGCACCATCTTTTATTGTCATAACTACAGAAGTATTCATAATTGCGATATTTATGTATAAAATATGAAAAAAATGAACAACTGAGACAGTAATTGCAGTAAATTAATAAATAGAAACCTGATTAGCATTAATCTGATATTTAAATTCTTTGGCGATCAATTTTGCGAGTGCAATATGAATGACAAATGAAACGATTGCGATTGAAAAAGCAGAAAATACTATATTTCCACTCTCACTAAAGTCCGGTAAGGATGGTGAAGGCATGCCAACATCAATATCTCCCACAATATCCAAACGAAACTGTATTGGTGTATTGGTAGCAAAGTAAGACAAAACGATGGAAAATACTACCTGTATCAAAAAAATTCGCTACAATGATTATTCTTTTTACAGTTACTTTCACTTTATAAAATTATAAGTTTTCATCGTTAATAAGAATTTTACATTTATTTCCATAGCTATTTTTATTGTCATCAACATATTTATTACTGTTTTACTTTAATTAATAATTGCTTCCATACTCGTTAATAATTTATCTATACAAAGTACGAGAAAATTTGCTGATAATCAAATAAATATAAATGAGTTATATTGAAATAAATTGTTGAGCACATTCTGATAAATCATTTTTTACTGCTTATATTGTTGAAATTATGCAAGTTTTAAGTTAATTAGCCAATTAATCTAATGTGCACAATATTCTTATTCTGAAATAACTACTCAAAATAAGTTTAACGCAAATATACCACAAAAATTTCCATAGGAAATTTAATTTTCATCCAAGGCTTGATAATAGGATCGATGATCAATTTCGATACTAACAAACAAAAAACACATATAATAGTACAAGCAAAGGTATGATATTCAACTGTGTGAATGTTCCGTAAAAAACAAATCGAAAACTGAAAAACAGTAAAAAAGCTGTTTCGAACATAAGTAAGAACATGCTATTTCCAGTGATTTATTCATTCTATAAGTTATATAGTGTGTATTATATTTGCATGTGATCAGCACCACTTGATATTGGTATAATTATAAATTAATTAATTAATTAATTAACTGATAAAAATTCATATAATTTCTGATAAACCCGTGAAAGTACTAATACAATAATTTTAGCAGCTTTAAAGCAGTGCATAAAAGCAATCAAAAACGATAGAAGTGGAAAAGCAAGCCGAAATAAGAAGCTTAACTTTATGTTTTTTATGGAAAAGTGCAACTGTAAGTAAGTGAGTACATACTCTAACAATTCCAAACGTATCTGATGTAGTGGGTACATTTTTGATGCCAGTCATTGTTCCAAGCTGACTTGCTAAAACATGCACAGCTGCTCCAGAAGTTAATCCTTCCACCAGCTGATCTGATAGCCAAACAGCTAACAAACCCGCATTTAATAAACCCAAAATGACCTGTATGGAGAATATTCAAATCATTTACTAAAAGCTGTGAAATGCAAATATTCAAAAAAGTAACTGAGGTGAATGAGGTGAATAAGCATAAAGTCTGCTTTACTCATTCCCTTTCAATGCATTGATTATTAAGTTTACTAGATAAATAAAGGTCACAATGCAAATTACGATAAGACCACAAATATATTAATTGATGAGGATATATTTTAGATTTGTCTTGAGTGCTTACTTGAATCACACCTACAAAGAATGTGATTAATGATGATAATCGAATAGCTTTTTCCAAGTCTGGTTTATGTGGCATTTCTAAGCAACAGAGATTTTCTGTACCATTTTGCATGGATGTGAATGGCAGTGACGACTGCTCAATTACCGATCCAACCATCATTGAAATAATTGCAAACGCCCCTAGACATTTTGTATGACAATTTTTATTCAAAATGAAAATTGTAGTAAAATGATAGGGAAGATGAAGTTGACATTAGTTATCTGAAATCTGATTATTAAGAATACTATAGCTTCAACAACTCCCAATCTATAAATTATTGAATAACAAAATATATTACGCATAAAATTATTAAACAAATCACCGGTAGATGCTTGATGAGATGTGCCAAATAAAATGTAAACCAGTGGTCCTACAATACCTGAATAAATTCCATAAATTGGTGGTAAACCAACCATTAGGCCATAGGCAAGACCTAAAAAAGTAAACATATTTTACAGTTAAAGTTTACATAATTGCATCAGACCAAATTTGAAATAATAATAAAATAATTCAAAAATAAACCTTGTGGTATGTAAATTATCGAAATCATGATACCATTCAAAATATCTCTGAGTAAATCTTCGTGCCAATCATATGATGGAAGCCAACCAATGATTGGAAATCGGTTCTGAATTAATTTAATCCATACATTATTGACAATTTATGGTACTACCGAGATAATCTTTTCCAGCAAATTTTTGATACCATCCTCCTATCGATATTGTCTTTACCAAGACAATAAATAAAAGATTGATCTTAGAAAACAAAGACTAGTCCGAGTAGATATTTCCTTCATTTTCAAGTTATATAATTAATAAGATTAAAATTTTCAGTATCAATTTTTTAAAATAAATCGTTACTGCCCTTATCCAATAATTTGTTTATTGATTTTATTTTTGATTCATTTGTTTCAAATATAATTTAGCAAAGAAAGCTAACGCTTGAATTATTTATAAAAGACCGAAATGTTGAAATGGAAAAATCTGATAACAAAAATGGATTTCGTATACTTTGAGAAAGTTTATCCATTCTAGAGCTCTCCACGTTCTAATTACTTTTATCTGATAAACCCATTTCCTTACTAGCGACAAATTAGTCTGCAAATATCGAATTTTAATAAATCACAATTAACAGTAAATTCATTTTAATAACTTTACTTAACACATACTTTCGATAAATAAGATTTGTTTGCGTGTTAATGTTTTCATTAATACACTCGGTATTGAACTAAACAGACTCATTTTTGTGTTTAATCAATATGGAACTCAATACTAAACAGCTATCAATTGATAGTCCTGATCACTTTTGACGTTGATTACTTAACTCAGACAAAATGTCGTTCATCTTACCCGACGATAGCCATGTTTTTTATCAAATTGTTCTTGATTTATCGCTGGTTTATGCTCTGTATGTAACGTTATTTGAGAATTGATTGCATTTTGCCAGCTGTAAACTCAAAAATCTATGAAACGAATTTCTGTATTCATTCTTAAGGCTTGATCATGTTGAAGTTTATGACTGAAATGACTGATAAAAATACAGGTTTTGTTAAGTTATTTGAGAATTTATTTTAAGGAAATGAATTGACGTAATCATAAAAAGTCATAGCTTAAGCAATACACATGTGCAAACCTCTTATTTTAAATTAAAAGCTTTCAAGATTTATAAATTTTTAATTGAAAGTAATGATTTGATCAAAAGTAATCGGATAAATTGTTGAAAATGTCATTCTGTCTTTAGCGGGAGAAATACTGGATGCGTAAAGATCAAGTCAAATAGGTTGAAAGCAAACTTTCCCATACTTTCCAGCATTTTCCTTTAATAAAGCTGATGATAATTGGGTGGATTTTACAGACTGTGGTGGCGTCTCGTCCTCTTTAAGTTCTTCAGTACCTGCTTTAATTTTGAGTTGCGTTACTATATTTAAATTTGATAATGAATAAGTTACCGTAATATAGTGATTTACTGTTTCATATATACGAATAATTTACACAGAAAAAAAAAGTCCATGTTTGAAATTGTTCATTTGCATGAACATGCTTACTATAAAGTTGAAAATTGTCACATTAGTTACAATGTATTACAAATTTTTATAAATTTATAGTAACTGCATAATTAAATATTGTTTTTTTGAACATGCTTATTACAAATAGGAACACATACATGCAAAAATAATGTTTTTGCAAGATTTAATCAAGAAGTTGATGAATTAGAAACAATATTAATGATTGTATTCCCCATGTAGCGGACTTGTCTTCTTATAGTGATGATGAATTTTAAATAAAATGACTGAATTAAATAGAATTATGAGCAAGATTACATGAGAGATTTATAAATTCAGTTACTCTTACAAAAATATTACTACTGTATACTTTCTTTTTCTACTTGAATTATTTATCTGTAAATTGAGTATAAAACTTCTGAAAAATGTAGCAATTCTGAATTGCTTCATTTATTTCACACTGAATTTCAACCAGCCTTCAGTACATCACACTTCAGCAAAGAAAAGTGAAGAATTAAAAAACTTTATTAATATTTTGAAGAAATAAATAATAAGTGCGTTTTTTAAATATAATGTTTAAATCTTTTATTTGTTATTTTCTATAAAAATATTGACTGCTCGACAAATTTTCATAGTTGAATACAACTTATTTTAGTAAAAAAATTTATTATACGACTCGAAACTAATGGGCTAAGAAAGTTCCAAAAGTTTTCTAACATTAATTGTTGGGAAAGCAAAATGTTTGATGCTAATCCATTTGTCATCACGCTATAAATACTTATGCTCTTACTGTTGTAACTGTTGTCATCAAATAAAAGTCTAACTAATCATTTAAAAGTCTTGCATATATTAATTTATAATTAAAATTATACAATTTCTCAAAAGTAATTAACTCTTGCTAGTATTGAATAATCAAAGTGTCTTACAAAAACATGCTGAAACTCATATCGTACTTGTCTCTGTATGCGATGCTACGTGATGACTATCTACTTGCGTTGTTTTTGGTTCTATTTGCTGAACATCTTGCTCTTCGACCTTTCTCTTTCTTTCAACAGCTGTTTTAGCCATTGCAGCCGATACTTCGTGAATATTTTGTCTTCGTTCATCAGCCATTTTTCATTTGCATTGTCTAATAAAAATAATACTTGCAAAAACTTTTCCTCATTTTAAAGCTTTTTAATTTATGCAAATAATTAATTCAAATTTCAGTGAATGAATTTTATTTTGTATTTACGTTTAATCTAAGCTTATATTTGATACTATTACAAAAACAAACTTTTTTTCTTGCATAAAAAAGCAAAAATGATCCACTTAAGCCAATGCTAATGCAAGATCCTTAACTAAAATTTTCACAATATATTTGATTATATAATTTTTAGAATCATGAAACTACTGAATTTATCATGTATTCTACTACAAAATATCTTCACGTGTATATGTTTGAAAATTGTTTCTCTACAATTTACCTCTAATGAGTGCTGTTTTGGAAGCAATCAAACTATATTAATTTGTAATCGTTTGCTCCTTTTGATTGCATTCATATTATCAATGTTATTTCAATTAAAACCAATTCATTTCTTTTGTTTTTCAAAAATTATCTATCAAGTATTACTACTTTTCAAATATTTGATGAGAAAGCAATTGGTTTCGATTGACTTGCAAAACTATTTGAAATAGCATCTCAAACTTATTGAAAATGCAACAACTTGTTCTATTTATAGTTAGTTGTAAAGCTGTTTACAAGTGTGTTTGTCCAAAATCATCAGTACTGCATCCATCAACTATCATTTGCAATATTTTGGAGTAAATAGTGAAACTATCAGGCAGCAATATGTAAATGATTTATATTGTTCTGTTCTAACTGATATCATCAAAGTACCAGCTTCCCCTGATGCAAAATTTTTTGGATTGTAGTAACATTAGTGGTTAGGGAATGTTTATTGTGGTATGTCTTTCATAAAGTGATCATATGAAAGAGAGCATTTTGCTTACTGACAACCATAACACTATTGATACTTGTTAAATTGTTTTAGGTTGTTGAGCGGGCTTAGGCGACTCAGTTTTGTTTATGATTATTCGTTTGGCACTGAGATGGCTGGAGATTATTTGCTTTTTGGCTCTGATAAAGTTTATAATACAAACACATATTCAAGTAAGATCCTAAAATAGAGGAGTGTTTTACATAGACAGCAGTTGAATCTGAATCACTTAATCGTGCGATATTGACTAATGCCATTTAGAAAAAAGAGAATATGATAGAATTTCAGTTTTTTACAATTTAAACTTCGCAAAGTCTTAAATATCTTACGTTTATTGACTGCTGATTGATATTTCATGACTTTTAAATTGTTGTAATTTAACACCAAAAATTCATAATTAAAAAAAATTCTTAATTTAAATTAATTTAATTAGTCATTACTGCTCACGTAAAACGTGGAATGTGAGCATTAGTGATTAACTAAATTAATGCTAAAACAATTATTATTCCGTTATTATGGCAAATACAAGAGAAACATGATCAGAAAAACCAAAAACGACATTGAAATTTCAGTTTAACATTGCAATTAACATTTATTCTAAAAATATTCTTAATTGATAATAATAAGTAAATGACTAACAATTTAAATGTTATTAAAAATTGTTTTATTCATACAGTTACTTATTCATATACATACCATTGTATTCAAACTAATTAAATGATTCAAAGCGTGGATAAATGTATTTCAATTTCTAAATGCCGTAGCGAAGCTGGTCTTACATATTTTCATGCATCAGTTAGAAGGTAACAAACCATTAATCATTTTTTTCATCTGTCTTTGACTTATCGAAATTTATTTTCGAATTAATACTATCATTTGTGATTTAAGTTAAAAGTTTTTAATAGTTTCAGAATATTTCTAAAATTGAAGGCATTAAATAGATAGTAATTGTAATATTTTTATCACTTATAAAGTCTTATGAATCAAATTTTGGCCTACATTTTATGCAGTATTATATAACGATGCGTGCAACAAAAAATGATGAAAAATGTAATAATAATTGCTTTTATCTCTAACTCTTTCATGAGCATTCAGTTTTTTGGTTGAATGTTTGAGTAGCTTCATATTTCTAAAAACTTGAATTTTTGAGCTTTTACTCGCTTTTTTCATATAATATGAAAAGTCACATACAACTTTTGAACAAATTTTATTATGCAAACACGAAAAGTACAATGGAACGTCGAACAAATAATAAAACAAAAAAGGTTGAAATTGAAAAAATAAGTGCTAATTGTGATGACATTGCAGTATTTGCACTGCCATCTGCGTTGTCATCGTGGTGTAGTACTGGGGAAGTTGTTTTGGTATCGAAGTTTTCATAAATTGCATTATCGATTGCTTTTATCGGTAGTTTTGGAGTCTACAAGGTTGCAATATAACTTTTACATCGAAAAACATTCATAAATTTATTATAAAGATACAATTTTTAACGTTTACTGATTATTGAATAAAATTTACGAATCAAATTTCAATGGCAATGTTTGTAAATTTGATAATAGGACTGACCCATAAAACATAAAATCTTGTATAATTTCTTAATCGCTATAGAAAGAAATATAAATTATATTAAGCAGCATTGTTGTCCAACAAATATAACATTGTAAAGTGAGAAGGAATGAAATTTTACAGTGGCAATTTAATTATAGAAATTAATATCAAAATTAATATGTTTTAAATATTTAAAGCAAATTGCACGATTTTCTTATTATGATATCAGTATGAAACTCACAAAGAATAACTTTCTTCAGAATTATTGTTACTTTATATAGCTTCAAATTTGTATTAGTTCATTGTTTGTGAGATGAAGTTTTGTAAATTTTTCTCACAATTAGAGATATAATTCAAACAAAAATTTCTGCGCGTATAGAAGCAAAAAAATAATTCAATGATTGATTTAGTTAAAATAAGACCAAGCAATTATTATAAAATCAATGCTGGAATAAAAGCTAATTACCGCTATGCAAGATCGTAATATAATATCCTTGAGGTGATAGCAGAGTTTGTCATCCTTATCTGTGCATGTACAATTATTATATGCAGCACCTTGTGAGGTTTTCAATGTATCCTTCATCAGATCATGGCACCGCGGACTGCATTCTCCGTGAGTTGCTTCCAGCTCACATTCCGAAACAAAAATTCCGTAACGTGAACTGCACTGCAAACATTATTTGATATAAACTTGCTAGAAAAACCAATGGTTCTGACTTCATACAATAATATAACTCTTGGTAGATTCAAATAATGCTTACAAAACGGAAAACTTGAAATCTATGAGAATATTGTTTAAAAATGCAATCAGTCTCTAATTCAAACAATAAACACTGATAATTAATTTTTTTTTTCAATATGTTTTCAAGTATGTTCAAAAACAAAAAGAAAATTATATTAGTCGTCGATAATCATGTTTGAAATTTCTCAAAGATGTACGTTAACACTTCAATGATAAAAATTAGCTGAAATGAACTAACGAGTAAATCTGCTTCACAGGCTAACTTCGCCAAATTACAGTATACAGGTGATTTATTTGGCACTAAATTACACAATTCTAATTCGTATCTACCGGGAATGCAAGAAATATCAGTACGTAATAATGCACGTCCTAACCGATTTTGGAATAAATTAAGAACAGCATTGCGACATTGTGGTTGACACGTATTCGTAACACTGAAATTATAAAAATTTAGCTTTTTCTATATGATTACTTTTAGTGTTTCATCTGTTAAAAATCATAAAAATAATATCCAATTCTTTAAATCGTTAATAGCAAAAAATTCTATTGAAATGTTGCAGTTTTGGTTGTTCAGAGGTGGCAAAATATGGAAACATCTATTCTGAAAAGCAATTTTAAATGAAGTGACTCAACTCTCACCTGACTCAATTTCATGATTATAAATTATTACACAGTAACTTTTCAAAAAGTTAAATAAGTTTTTTTACAAAAATTGGACTTTTGAAATGCATTTTCTTCATTTAGTAAAATGCACTATTATCAGTAAAAGATAGTGATAGTTAAGAGCGATAATTCTTCTTCTTTGCAAGTCTTTAGTACTTTTTGAAATTATCTGAAAGTCGTACATTCATTATGAGCTGTCTTTTTGTTAAAAAGTATTAGCAAATTATCAATCTTTTCCTCTCTTTTGAATCAGTCTTTGCTTCAATTTACCATTCCAAATCCATCATCTTGTTATTCTCTAATTTACCGCAAACAAATTAATAAGTATAGCATTTTATTGTTATTTTATATTTACTCTAATAAATAGAGCAAGTATGGCATATAAGATGTTAGAATAAAAAGTGCTTATGTTGGATGATAGCTGAACGCTAAAAATATTGGTGTAATCAATGTATTCTAATGAGATAATTATTCAAAGTGAAATAATTGTATTATTTAAAATTGCTATAAATATTACTCAAAACACTGATAAATTCAACCTTTCTTAGTTCCAACTTCATCATGCTTTCTGGATAATTGTTTTATTTATCACAAATAAGAAAGTATTTTTCAGGAATGTTTACTTTTTTTTTCAGTTAATGGAATTACAAGTTTGTTGTTTGATTCATTTATGAAGTATATAATGCTATGCGATCCAAAAACTATGTTATTTGTGATGAAAAGGAATCACTTATCATTCATGCGTAAATATGCTCTATTTCATTAATTTTTTGTTGATTTCAAAGCGAAAATGAGTAATGATATTAAGTTTTGACTGATATTAATTAGAATGTAGTATATAAATTAACTTGGAAGCACAAAACAGTAATGAATAATGTCATAAATATTCAAATTTGGAATACATTAATGTGGTTATGGTTGAAGGAAGAAAGCATTTTCTGAGCATTCTAATATATGAATGATATTAATGAGTTGTGAAGGCTTTTTTGATGGTGTTAAATTATGTTCATCTGAAATATTTGCCTCAGATGCACTTTCATTTGAGAATTTTTAAATTTGCTGCAGGATGATCATTATCAACATTTTTTTAGCATTTTTATTTACCTAAAAGAGTTTTTTCTGCATTAAAATGAAAATCTCAATCTTAAATTTTTGTAACTAATTACAATTTTTTTTTGATCTACTTTGGCAAATCACAGTTCATGCTAAAGTTAATAAAAATATTGAAGTTAAATTTTAAACGGAAATGAAAAATTAAGTGAAGTAGTAAATGGAAATATATAAGAAATATGCTGTGACAGGTTTTTAATATGTTTATAATAAATGTTTTTTACTGATGTTATTGAGCATATCTGAATTGTAGAGATCAAAATAGAAGAATTATTAAAGTGAATTATGGAATCTAACTAATGAATGATATGCATGCTGATGAGTGGAATAAAAATGAATGGGTCACCTAACAACTTGGATATACTTAACGAATTTATTTGTTAAACACTTATATGAAGTGTAGAGTATAATATTCAGACAATTAGGTAGTATGAAACGATGAGTTTGCGATACTTGAATTACTTTTGTTTACTTTTATATAAACGAAAAAAAAAGCACATGCAAACAGTTTATTTAAACATTTACTGCTTACTACTGCTATTTGTTTTCTAGCTTGCTTTATTTATTACTTAAGACTTTATCTTACATTACGTTTCAAAACATATCCAATTTCACTCTTTTTGTTTTGCTAAAAAATTTGAGTTACTGTCACTTTGACAGTAACTCATCAACACTTGTATTTATTTATTTGAAATGTCGGAGGTGTTAAATGGTAAAAGTGGCAGCATTAAATGCCGACTTCATAGAATGATTTTTTTTTCACGCAATCTAGATGCTAAATAAAGATTAGATTTTGCCTTCAAACAAAGTTTATTATACATATTTTTCCAAATTTACTTCTAACATAAAAAACATTTTGTCAAAGTATCACAACAAAGTATACAAAGTATGGTAATAAATTTCTTTCATTACTACTGCAATAAATGAAAGAAAATTTATTCTTCAAAGACAGCTACTTAAAAATTTATCTTCCATACGCTTGTTGGCACTTCCAAAACTACGCAAATTCTGTGCATCATTGTTAAAAGAATGTGAAATTCATAATTATAATTTTTTGGAAAAAATAATAGCACACTTTTTGAAGTGCTGGTGTTAATCTATGGTATCGAATTATACCACGGGAACTGAAATTTGTTAAAGCACAGTAACTGAACGCTAAAAATTCTTTGCTTACACTTATTTTCGAATTTCATTTAATTTTAATGAAATCTTTGTTATAAATGTGCTTACAAAAGCATAATGGATAAAAAGTTTACACCAGCGTAACAAGTAATCGCAATAAATTAAACTCTCTCTAAATAGACTTATCACATATTATCCATTATCAAAGCCAAGTTCAACCAAGTAATGAAGTAAAATAAATTGTAACACAACACAGTAAATGAAATTTAAGAATGAAATTTGACTATGTATTTAAAAGAAAATAATTAGTACCAAATAATCATAAAATTTTAATTGTGAATATAACTCTTAGATATAATCTATCATATCGAATTTTTAAAATGGTGCATAAGGTTTTATTGCCATAAGTGATAAGATAATTGTGCTAATAGAAATTTAGAACTGCTAAAATATTTGTAAATAAAACAGAATTACTATAACTGCTTTTGCGATTGATAGATGTTCACTGAAAAAAATTAATGCTGCTAACAAGTTTGCATATTTTGAGCTTAATTAAATTATTCTGATTAAGTATGAAAATACCCTTACCAAGTTGACTGAAGAACTGCTAGTCGATGTATGCAGTCAGTATCTTCTTCACATGCAGCATTCGCTTTTTTACATTCCATTGAATAATTCGGAATTTGTGCTTTATTTATGTTTATCACCAGAAAAATAAGCAGAATTGTCAGCATTTCTGTTCCCCAAAATTATAGCAAAAACTTGTATAGAAATCAAATCTTAAGAGAATAATTTTTAGTTAACAATTTGTAATAATATCAATTCACAATAACATTTAATAATTGCATTGAAATGCAGCATGAACTAATCAGTTAGTAACTCATTCATTCAATTATTTGATTGATCTGATTAAAAGATATATGCTGTTTTGAATGATTGACATATTCATAATGATAACAATTGTTCTAATTACAAGTGAAAGGTCATAGAAAAAAATTTTTCTTGCTAATATGAGATCATTGTCAAATTGGAATAATTAGGCTGTATGATTATAATAACTGATCACATAAAGAATTTTAGGATAATTTAAGATATTTGATATTTTTTTTATCAAATAAGAAATATAATGTTTCACACCAATATATTTATATGACATTTAAAGTATGCCAATGTATTTATTAGCCTTAAAACCATGACCTACTTCTCATATTTCTAGAAAAATTTTCTGAAATTTATCTACTTTTTTAATTGCAAAATACTTCTTTTAGTAACTGCGAAAAATGAAATGAAGATGAATAAATATTAGATTTAAAGTTCAAACTGATTATTACTTCTTCAATCCACTACAAGTAATGAACATGAAGAATCAGTGCAAAAAAAGAATCGCATCATTTAATCATGAATCGTCCTGCGTACAACAATGTAGACTTAAGTAGTAACAACTTTTTGTTAAAGAAGTTATAGCAAAAGAAAAAAGAAATTTGCATAAAATAAATATATATTGAAACCGCAAAACTCATTCGCTTTCCCTTTAGTAAATTTTTAATAACAGTAACATATTGCATGATACATAGAATGAATGAATATGTTTTTCTGCCATCTTTACTTTACTTTATTTCAAATTTTATAAATTACTTAAAAATTTATAAATTTTAAAAATTCAAACTAAAGATTTAACGATATAGCTGATCCATTGTTCATATATTTTCAATTTAGGTTCAACATTTGTCATTTTGGCAAGGATTTTGAGGAGATTTCATCGTCTTTAGAAGATTAAATTGTGGTAAAGAGTAAATAATAGGCACTAGATGTCAGCCAGCAACATTTCATAAATGTTAAATATTTATCTATTTGGAATTCAAGATAATTTAAGTTGTTTTAGAATTTTATGCATTGATTAATTTATTTAAAAAGAAACTGTCCATTCTTTAACCGCTTTCTTGCAAACACTGCATTATCATTCATTGTAAGGATAAGACAAAGTTATGCAGTATTTTGAAGTACGGAATAGTCGTACATTCCAACAATCATTGCTTGACAAAAGCAGAGCAACACAAAATTTGATAACTACCATTACTACAAAGTGAAAAATCAACTTTTTTCAAATTAATTAGTATGTATTAAAAATAATTAATTAATCAGAATTTGATACCATTAGAGATTGATGAAGCACATATATATACCCAATATCTGATCTTAGAACGAAAATATAGTTAAATTAGAAAATCTAATATCCATTTAGCATTAATCTTAATCGATATTATGATTTTTTTTAGCGAAAGAGTATGACTGCATATTTTCTTTTTCGTATTTCAAAAAAAAACATGCAAATAATTTAGCACTTACAACAATAAATTATGAGTAATAGACTTAAAAATTAAAATTTTCAGTGAGTTATATTCAGGTTGAATGATAACTAAATTATCAATTATGAACATAACGAAAAGGTAACAACGTAATCTACCTGCATTGACTTACATATTTAATGAATTTGTTTGCATATCCTTCACCTAATTCATGCAGTTATCTACTTATTAATATCTACGCTTTTTACATGGGGATACTAACATGCATTGAAACTATAAGAACCGTGATGTATATATATATATATATA